TTTTTTTTTTTTTTTTTTTTTTTTTTTTTTTTTTTTTTTTTTTTTACATTATGACACAACTTATCACTCTTTTCAAAAATGAAGGAAATTTTATGGTGGTTGCTGAAAATAACAACCAGTAGGTCATTGGTCAGCACTAGCACCCAATTATATTTTAGCTCAGAGAGGCCCATGTGTTTGCCTCTGAATATTTATTGATGAACATTGTTCTATCACTTAAAACTGTGCTATTAACTTAAGATTTTGGTTTACTTTGCAATTAAGACATTTCCATTGTATTGTTATTGCTACATAAATTATTTGTAGAGAAGGTTCAGTGGGTGTGGTGTGAAACCAAACCTGTCCTTTTTCCCAAAAAATCACATGACTTTCATTCAGAACTCTTGTGTTCAACATGTGATGTCTTTGCCCCTTCACAGTGATTGTTTTCTTTTTTTGCAGCTCGAAATGGAAGATGATGATGTTATCGAAGTGTACCAGGAACAGACGGGAGGGCAATGAATTTTACCCCATACTTGACATCCACATAAGTTTGTTTTGTTCTCTTGTAGCTCAAATGGTATCATATTACAACTTTTGTTCAGTAGCAACAACATAGTTCATTCTGGATAAGCAAAAGGTTGCTTTTATGAATAAGACTTGGTGCAAAACCAGGATTTTATATTTGTCTCCGCTTATATGCATAGAGCAATTGTTAATCTATGATAAGTTTCATTTCTTCCTGTGAATAGTTTAAGAATTTCTTTTTGTTTCATTCCATTTAGTTAGATTTGACCTCTTTTATAATTTGTCAGTTAAGTGTGCAGTGCTTGTTTATAAATTCAACAGTTCAGTTCATTAAAGATGTACTTTCAATTATGTTTTGCTCTTTCTTGGTAACATAGTCCAAGTATAGGAATCACATGAGCACAGGTGACGTGATTTGACCCTTTAAACACCAAGAGTGATGTTCTAGTTTATCTTTACAATAATCAAAGATTCAACATTACCCCTCCTGCCACCCACAGGCATTTGATTGTTATCTGTGCCAAGGGGGTGGGGAATTTGAACCAGAACTGTCAAGACTTTCCAGCAGAATAATCATGTTTTATCTGTTAATTCAGAGGTGTATTAAAGTAAAAAGTTCAATTTCGTGAGCAGATAGCTCAGAAAAATGGGGATACAAGAATATCACAAGCGCTGATCTTGCCTTTTACAAAATCAATTGTACATACATGCAAAATCAACTTTTTCCTCTTGCATTTCACAACAACAGTATTTCACCTACTAGTCTAACAAAGTATCTTTGGGGTAGATGCGCTGTTTGCCGTAGTGAAATTTATAATTCCTACTCTTTAATTTTATTCTTTATAATTGGAGCCTTTCCCTAGAAAAGGATCTGAATTTCCAACTCTTTTTGGGTGAGCAGCTCTCTTTCTCTCCTTCCTCAGCTACATTTAAAGATACTACATTACTGTTTTCCTTTTTGCTTTATTTCTTTAATCAAATCAGATGTTTTTAACAATGAAATATTTCAGTTTCACATTGAGTAGGTTTCTACATGTTCTACTTTTATGCTGTTTGAAAGTTGCGAAAATTGGACAAAATAGACTTCAATCTCTTTAAGCCTGTATAATATCTTAACTGTGTTAATACCTGCTTATTTCAATCCACCTTAAACTAAACAAAATATTTTTAGGAGTAAGTCGATTTCTATAAAATGACAGGAGTTTTTCTGGTTTCAAGTGACTATCCAAAGTAATTTTTATACAACAAACTCAACTTACAAGGATTAAAGTCAGATGAAGAAGCTGTGTGAACAAACTTTTTTTTACAGGAATATACAGAAACTGACATTGGAAAAATGAATGCAAAAACAAATTGTAAAAACTACATTTTAACCACAAGGGTAAAAACAAAAAAAGGAAAGAGAAACAGTTGTCTGTAAGACTCAAATGTCCAATTAAAAAGGCCACTAGCAAAAGAATCTTGTAACCTTTTGGGATTTCTAACCATTGTAGGTAGATTATCCTACCTACTAATATACTTCAACTTTAACCCGAACATTTCCAAAGTACACGACACTTGGGAAAATTGCTGAAAGCAAAGTATAGATTCAATACTTCATAGATCCTTTGAGATTGTTGGCTTAAATTCTGTTTATAAAAATTAAAATACTACAACGTTTTGTGCTTGGTATTCATTAGTAATATTATCTCTAGCGAAAAACTGAAAAGAAAAAGGTAAAATCATTTTTTCGTGAGTTGTTCAGCCAAGATTTCACCATCAAATTCAACATCTGTAAGATCAAAAGAAAAACTTTGAATTAATAACAAAGAAGTCATATTGGAGAATGCTAATTTATTTTATTTGATACTTAATACTACATGCAAACAGTTTTACCCTTCTTGTTTGTGAAAACACATGCTACAAAAACCCAAGATTTGATACAAGGATTGAAAAAAATGCGATTAACCAATCAACTCAATTTTCTTTTCTCAAAAACCTTTTTATATAATAAGCTGCATTATTTTGATTGGTTATAAATTGACATTGACAGTGGGTGCAAAAGAGTTTTCACAGCTATTGTTAAACATGACAATTGTCCTCATTGTTCATTCCTTATCTAAAAAAACTAGCTTTTGACACCTCTAACGAGAGTATTGCTGTAACTAAATATTCCTCACCTCTTTCAATATCCCTTCCGTCGACCACGAAGTTTCCCTCGACTTCTCCCTGGTCTAACTTTGCCTTTCCTTTCGAGGAGTTCTCTCTTATCAAGACTAAACCATGGGATCTCAAATTCTCTGTGGGTAAAAAAATTCATTTATCCTATCAATCTAGAAATTTTCATGATACTTTACATCACTACTCATCATTAATATATCTCTCTGTTGGTACATGTATGTGTGCTATGATTGGTCAATTTAGCAGGCTATCTTTCACTGTACAGCCTACTAAATTCAAAAGTTTGTTTGAAATTGAAATCTTCCCCTCTATTTGAACACAGAGATATAATAAATATCTTCTTAACCTTATCTCTTGGTCTGTACTGTAAGTTATGGAACTTCATTTTTCTTTTCCGCTTGGTCCGTAAATTACAGTATAGACCATGAATACAAGTGTCTATCCTCACTGTGTACTGCACATCTGTTGTTGTTGTTGTTGGGGGGGGGGGAATATTCCAGTCCATTCTTTGTGAAAAAAAAATTAAAGTCAGTAACCCTGCCTCCCCCCTCCCCCCTCCCCCTTCCCCACTGCACCATTTCATCAAGTTTGCCTTGGAGTTTGCCAATACCCATTTATGCTCTTAGTTAGAGAGAAGCAATGTAGGGGTAAATTTTCCTTCTCAAGAACATGACACAAAGACCCTATCTAGTTTCAAGCCCAGGCCTCTCAACACCTAGTCCAGCCTGCTAACTGTTGGGTTACTTACTCTCTATGATGAATGATAAAAATTGTCAAATGTATTTCCAGCTTTTAAAACTTGCATGGAATCTCATGATGTAACTCACTAGCAGCTTGCACAGCTTTACCAATGATAGTATTACACAGGTCACCTACCTTTCTTGAAATAAGGGAACAGGAAACCCAAAGGCTACTACAGGAACTGTGTCAGAAACTTCAACTGCCATCACTAGAGGTTGGAGAATAAAACTACTATTCTTAACTCTTGAACTCCTAAGAGTAACAGGCATCTAATTTCTCCTTACAATATCACCCCTGCATCAAAAATTAAAGTGATGAAAATAAAGGAAATGATGCCCAACTAAAGAAGCTCTTGACTAAAAAAACATTTCTCTTTGCCAACACCTTATGAAATGTATAGAGAACAGTAGGGAGAATATGAATATTCATGTTAGGATGCAAGGGGTTAAGGTGATCAGACTCAGTCTAGGATATAATTCTGGTTAATCTGAGGCTCTTTTTCTTTCAATTTGCAAGCCCATATGAAAATTTTCACATCAATAAAATCTTGCTCATAAAAAAACCAAGCAGGTAAACATCAATTATCATTACATATCAATAAAATTTTCTACAAAGATGGTAGTGCAGTGATTGTTTTTATTTGTAAAATGTTACAACAAAAAAACCAAATTCTGGTATCTGTAGTCTCATACCATCTTCGGGAGGTGGAAGGAATGATTCAATATTTTTGCAGTCCTCATCTTTACATCCAGATCTTTTCCCTTTCAGTCGTGCTTCTTCTCTGTCTCTACTTTTCTTTTCAAGATTTTGATGCGCTTGCATTGCACGCATGTGTTGAATATCCCATCTAAAATCATAAAAGAAAAATAGAATTTAATTCTTTAAAATCAATCATTATTTTCACTATTGTCAAGTGTTATGTCTGATTATGAAAAAATTGAAATATTAAGCTCTCTGCTCTGACGATTGAATTCAACACTGCCAAGTACAGTTTTCTTTGCCTGATCAAATTACAAACAACCCTCATTCTTACCAGATCTTATTTCATTCAATTCCTTCTTCCCTAACAACTTTTTTGACTGATTTAAAAAGAGAAAGTAAGGACCATTCAAAATGCATTTTTCCCTCACCTTTTTCTTCTCCTCTCCTCAACTTCATGTTTCATATGCCTTTTTGCAAATACATCATCGTCAATACTCTACAAAGAAAAATATGGAAATAATTGACTAAGGTTAACTAAAGAGACCTTACCAAGATAATGCTTGTACTGAAAACAGGGAGAAAAACCTCTAGGAATAAAATGAAACTGAGCTGTAAACTTGAACTTCCTTAACCCTTAATACGCTAACATCAGCATCCTTATTCTCTTCACTCTTTTCCGTACCTTTCTTCTGGTACTGACGAGGAGAATTTGCTCAATGATCAGAGCTTTTTAGGTTGGCAATCACTTCCCTTTTTCTTAGGATCTTAATGAATGACTCAGCAATATTATTGTAAGGAGAAATATTGTGTTGGTCACTCTTGGGTCTAAAGGGTTAAAAGTCCCCATCTGGCAGCCTTACATTAAAAAAATGGTCCACAGAAATATCAATATGACATACTATACTGCTGCCAGCAGTACAGCGCTAGTTGGCAATCATTTCTGGAGTAACATCAAAGGGCTTAACACCCAGACCCCACGATGAAGAAGAGGCAAAAAGTTTAAAAAAATTTTGATTGACAAATTCTGTCTCAGGTAAGAATAAATTATTTTTCTCTAGTAGCTTAAGTAATTGTAAAAGGCACAGGGAGCATGGGAATACCTTTGACTTTGGATTAAATTACATATGTAATGAATACCTCATTGTTCTCTGATGATGATGATGATGATCCTGCTAATTTTAATGATTTTGAATTCCCTGTTCTGACTGCTGCTATTTCATTTACTTGCCAAGTAGGAACTGAAAATAAAAAAATAGATTTGTCACCAGAGGGTGTACCTGATATATTATAATTGCCTTGGCCTGGTATTAAAAAGTATTTCTAAAAAATGGCCATTCAACATCATGTAAGAAAATGGCAAGAACTTATAGAAACCATAAGTGACAAAACTGTCGTGAACTTTATTTTAACACTTAATTCATTGAGGAGGTAAGGTTAACCCTTTAACTCCCATGAGTGACCAAGACAGAGTTTCTCCTTACAATATCAATACAATATCATGCAGACAAGTAATGGGAATAAAGAAAATTATTAATTAGGAAATTATAGAAAAATATCAAGTAAGGGATTATAAGTTGATCCAATACCAAATTCTCCAAACTAACATCACAAGAACTGTATGGCAGATAGTAAGGAGAATTACTAATGAGATATTGGGAGTTAAAAGGTTAAGTGAGGTTTTTTTGGACAATTGACTGAGCATAGTAAAGTAAAACAATTGCAGTCTTAGATCAATTTTAACACTCTTGTCTCTTCATTACAGGAAATGAAGTCAGAGCCCTGAGAAAAAAAAGGGCCCTTTTTCTTTTTCCTGCTCTGCAGAAGTTTTCAAATTACAAAGTTCTGTGTACAGACTCAATTGGAATTTCCTGTGGGACACACTGTGCTCAAACTGGACTGTAATCTAAT